AATCAATAACATGAGAAATAACAAGCATTGGAAGATGCAGAGAAAATTGAACCTTCGTGTACTGTTGGTGGGAATGCAAATTGGTGCAGCCAGTATAGAAAACAGTATGGAGTTTCCTCAAAAAGTTAAAAATAGAATTACCATATGATCCAGTAATTCCACTACTGGGTATTTACCCAAAGAAAATGAAAACACTAATTTGAAAAGATTTATGCACCCTTATGTTTATTGCAGCATTATTTACAATAACTAAGATCTGGAACTAACCTAAGTGTCCATCGGTAGATGAATGGATTAAAAATGAGGTGATATATATACAATGGGGTATTACTCAGCCATAAAAAAGAATGAAATCTTGCCATTTGTGGCAACATGGATGGATCTAGAGGATCTAATGCCAAGTGAAGAAGTTAGAGAAAAACACATACCGTATGATTTTTTCATACGTGGAATTTAAGAAACAAAACAAAAAAAGAAAAAGAAACCACTCCCTCCCCTTTTTAAAAAGATTTTATTTTTAAGTAATCTCTACACCCATCATGGGCGGGGGGGCTTAAATTCCCAACCCTGAGATCAAGAGTTGCATGCTCCACCGGCTGAGCCAAATAGCTGTTGTCCCAAGAAAACAGACTCTTAAATACAGAGAGCAAACTGATGGTTGCCAGAGGGGAGGTGAGCGGGAGAATGAGTGAAATAGAGGGGATTAAGAGTACACCTATCTTAATTAGCACTGAGAAATATATGAATCCTTGAATCATTTTTTGTATACCTGAAACTAATACAACACGACATGTTAATTATCTTGAGTAAAAAAAAAAAAAAAATTGCCCTTACCAAAGTCCCCATCCCTGTTAAAAAATCTCTTTCCAATCACTGTTTTTCTTTTTTTTTCTTTTCTTTTCCTTCTTTTTTTTTTTTTTTTTCTTTTTGGAGAGGGACAGAGATGGGGTAGGGGATGAAAGGGGAGAGGGAGAAAGAGAAGAGAATCTTAGGCCCAGTGTGGAACCCAAATGCAGAGCTTAGTCTCACAAACCTGAAATCATGACCTGAGTCAAAATCAAGAGTTGGATGTTTAACTGACTGAGCCACCCAGGTACCCCTCCAATCATTTTCTAAATTGGTCTTCACGTTTGGCATGAGTGACTGCTCCCTTCTTCTTGACACTCTTTTTCCTTAGATTCTGTGTCTACTGCATTTCCTGGTTTTCTTCTTAACCTCTTTTGCCAAAATTCCTCAATCTTTTTGGGAGGCGTCATTGCCCTTTATTTCTATATCAGATGCTTTCTCCTTAACTGTATGTTCTCACTTTTCTTGGGAAATCTCATTTATATCAACAGCTTCAGCCACCCCACTCAATACCGCTTATTTTAGCCCTGGCCTCTCTTGTAAGCTCCAGTTAGAATAGTTACCCATTTGAATATATTCACTTAGTTTTCCTATAGATCCTTCAACACAACATGGCCAAAATGAACTCCTCAACCCCCTCCAAAATCTGTATCTCCTATAGTTTTATCCTTGACATTACCTTTCCCTATCCCCTACTACCAGCTCCTGTCCAGTATATTTCAGCTTCTGGAATTCTGTCTCTAGAATCTATTCTTTATTTTCCATTCCCATTCCCATGCCTTTGGCTTAGCTCTTAACTTTTCACCTAGGTAGCTAGTCATAGACTCTACTCTGGTCTTTTAGTGTCTCCTTCCTGGGACAGAAATTATGTCTTTTATTTCTGTATCAATTGAGTCCAACTTAGTGCTTAGCACATACTAGGCTTTCCAAAAGAGAATGTTGAATAAATGAATAAACTTTGGTAATGTTTTACTGGTACATAACTAAAAGAAATAAAGTGGTTTTTTAAAAGATTTTATTTATTTATTTGAGAGAGAGAGAATGAGAGAGAGAGCACATGAGAGGAGAGAGGTCAGCTGGAGAAGCAGACTCCCTGCCAAGCAGGGAGCCTGATGTGGGGGACTTGATCCTGGGAGCCCAGTATCATGACCTGAGCCAAAGGCAGTTGCTCAACCAACTGAGCCACCCAGGCACCCTATATTAAAGTGTTTTAAATTGAATTATTCCATACACTGGAATTGATAAAACTACAACCAGCAGACCAAATGTAGCCTGCTGCCTATTTTGTAAATAAATTTGTATTGAAAACATTAACTGAAAATTGAACACATTAACAGCCATTCATTTACACATTGTACATGATTACCATTTCTTTTTTTTTTTTTAAGGTTTTATTTGTTTATTCGACTGTGAGAGACACAGCAAGAGAGAGAGAGAGAGAGAGAGAGAGAACACAAGCAGGGGCAGTGGGAGAGGGGAGAAGCAGGCTTCCCACCAAGCAGGGAGCCCAATGTGGGGCTCAATCCCAGGATCCTGGGATCATGACCTGAGCCAAAGGCAGATGCTTAATAATGAGCCACCCAGGCACCCCTATGATTGCCATGTCACTGCAATGACAGTTAAGTAGTTAAATTTTGTTGAAACATGCAATCCACAAAACCTAAAATATTTACTATCAGACCATTTATTTAAAAAAAAGAAAAAAATATCCAGCCTCTGCCCTAAAACAATAACTGCTACTATAAGGCAGGAATAGAGAAAATACAAGCCTAAAGAATAAGCAAAGGTCTAGAAATAAAAAGTAAGAAGTATATTTTACCAAGGTTCGACCACAGTTACGTTATTAGTAAAATAACCATAGATTAAATGAATCTCATTTGATTTTCTTAGATGTCGACTTATACCAAAAATAAAGAAAAGTCAGTTTGTGCTTTAAATGATTGCTAGAAGTGAATTTTTATTTTATAGGGCAAAGAGTACAAGAAGTAACGCATGTGATCTGAACACTGCTCGAATTTGCAGAGTAGAGTAACACAGAAGAGGGAGCTATATAGAGACTTTCAAATATCTACGAAGGGATTCCCTTAAGGTTGTATTAATGTACAGTGAAACTAATTAGGGCCAGTGAAAGAATCTCTAGAAAACGGGAGTCTGAAGAATTACTAGAGCTCACACAAGTCTGGCAATAGTTTTCAATCCTGCAAGCCATAATGGGAAAATGTTGTAATATATGGAACATCAGGCAGAGTACTCAGAAGGATATTACTTTAGGAAATGGGCTGAGTTAGCCCTACATTAAAGACTGCTCTTGAACCACTCTAGCAAAGCTTAAACACCTCAACAAAGCTCAAAAGGAAAAAGGTTATTTAACTACATGCCAAAGTTAAATCCAATAGAATTTAAAGGATTACAACAAGATCCAGTGAACAGCAATGTAAAATTGATCATGTTTGGCATTCAATAAAAAATAACCAGCTGGCAGAAACAAATCTCCCATGCAGAAAATTCCAAATAATTTATGTAAATAGTCTACACTCCTTAAGAGTGGGCTGTGCATAGTGACTTCCTTCCATAGTGTAAAGGGGTCAGGGAGTAACTTTATAGTGAGAAATCTGACAAATACTGCCTCAGCACAGATGTTATAAGTAGAAACAAATACCAAGATGCTAGATTTAAGCCCAATCATATTGATAATAACATTAAATGTCAGGGGTCAAAATGCCTCAATTAAAAGATTATCAGATCAGATTTAAAAACCCACAAGGCTTTACATGCTAGCTACATAAAATGTACCTGAAATATAAAAACACTAATAAGTTAAAAATAAGGTGGGAAAAAATACATCACTGTGCAGTGATGTTTCCATAAAACAAGATTATTGATATATGCAATAACATAGGTAAATCTCAGAAAGCATTATGCTAAGTGAAAAAAGCCAGATAGAAAAGATTACATGATGTATGATTCCATTTATTTGAGAGTTTAGAAAAGGCGCAACTAAAGTGAAATAAAGCAGATCTGTGAGTGTTAGGGGCTAGGAAGAGAATGAAGGGACTGACTACAAAGGAATATGGAGTTTTGAGGGTGATTGAAACTTTTAGAGATGTTTACAGAAGTTTATACATTTGTCAAAACTCATCAAATTGCACACTTAAAATTGGTAAATTTTATTCTGTATTAATTAAACCTCAGCAAAGCTGTGTTTTCATTGTCAATTACTTGGAAAATTTGTTAACAGGAATAAATTTGTGATTTTCATTAAATCAGTAACTACAAACAATAATAATGTATGTGAATTAGAAATATTTAGAATTTTATTTTATAAATATTACTTAGAACTTTATGTTCTTGAATTGCCATTTGAGTTCTTTTTTCCTGCTCAGTCCCTTGGTATCTGCAGGATAAACAAAAACGTGTGTCCTTATTCAACACATCTGTTGAAATTATTGGTTTTCTTTTAAAGCACTGAAGATCTCTAAAGAGTCTCCTAAAATGTTATACATTAGGAACATCAAACACAAGAGGATCTATAAAGACTCTATTACATAAAAATGTATGTACAGGGACGCCTGGGTGGCTCAGTTGGTTAAGCCGCTGCCTTTGGCTCAGGTTGTGATCCCAGGGTTCTGGGATCAAGTCCTGAATTGGGCTCCTTGCTTGGCGGGTAGCCTGCTTCTCTTGCTGCCTCTGCCTGCCACTCTGCCTGCTTGTGTGTACGCTCTCTCTCTCTCTCTCTCTCTCACTCTCTCTCTCTCTGACAAATAAATAAATAAAATCTTAAAAAAAAAAAAGTATGTACAGTAACCTCCTTGTTCAGGGCAGAGAAGCCCAGGGATTTATGGAACTGATTTAGAAAAACAGGATAAAATAACTAGTTGTCATATTTGATAGAACAGTGAAACAAAATCATAGGCTGAGAAGTAATTCTCACATCAGACTCTCTTTCCCAATGAAAAGTCATAAATTCTTGGTCATGGTACAAGAAGAAATTTAGTCATATTGACTGAAGTCTTAACCATAGTCGTCTTTTGGCTAAACTCTACCCTTCCCCCATCACAAACTCTATAGTACTAATTAGGGCCACAGACAAGGTCCCACAGAAGGAACATAGATTCCTGGGAGACCCAGAAACCAATAACTACTACCCATGATACCTGGAGAGAGAGAAAACTGCATTTCCCTCCACATCATATATTGGATGGGACCTTTGTACAGGCCTGGGTTCAGCTTTCTGGAGATAAGCTCTCTGGGCATCAACACCTTTGTTCCTTGTTCCAAGCTGCAGGGGACATAAATAGTTTATTCTTAGATATCCTCCAGGGACTGAAGGAAAGATGTTAATACCATGCAGAAACACTTACCTATCCAAGAGAGATGAGATATCCTAGAAGAGGAAAGGAGTAATAAAGAAGTTAGATGCCTGCTTATCAACACCAGAAATTTCTTTGGTGATACTGGCTACCACCAGAATTTCACCATCACTACTGGGACCTGTGCAGATGTCCTCATTCTATCAGCACTAATTCCTCCCATCCTCCATATGCCTTTTCTGATCAGGTATCCTTCATCTAACTCGTGACAAACTGGTTTTATCTTATTCTGATTTTCTAGAGTTCCCTTTTACGTGGAACAAGAGAAATTGGGATGCCTGGGTTACCAGTTGGTTAAGTGGCTGCTTTCGGCCCAGGTCATGATTTTAGGGTCTTGGGATCGAGCCCCACATCGGGCTCTCTGATCTGTGGGGAATCTGCTTCTCCCCCTCCCTCTGTGTTCTCTCTCTCTCTCAAATAAAATCTTTTAAAAAAAGAGAAAGAGAAATTAATAGGCTATTTCTACTTCTACTGGTTTCAGTAGAAAAACACCATAGGTCTTCCAGTCCCAAAGCTACTTTTTCTTGCTCTGGCTAAGTAAACTTCTGAGGGCTGAGATGATAATGACACTTTAAATGTCAAGCTTCAGGTAGGAAAGACTGGCAAACATCTTTCAAACAAGTCAGTTGAAAGCCAGTCTAAGATACAACTCAGGTTGCAATATTGTTATTTTTGAGAAAAAAACCTTCAAAGTTCTTTATGAAGAAATATTAAAATATTAATAGATACCATTATTAATGTCATTTATTATCTTTTTTAGGAGGGTGAAAGTAAAGCTTCTTATTGAGTGTAAGGCAAAAGTAGCCTTCTGCTTTTCTAGTCTTAAGAGGACTACAGTAGGTTTTTCTTACCCCCTCCTGGTGGGGAAAAGCTGTTTCTACATCTTTCTACCCTCTTTCCCCAACTATTGTACCCATAAATTATGTTGACAGGGAGTCTCACTTTGAGAAACTCGAAGGGATTCTGCTGTTCCATCCGTGCTTGGATGCTCATCAACATTTCCTTGGCTAGGAGACACTGTTCCTGAAGCTGGTTCATATTTAGCTCCATCTCCTCATTCAAGGCTTTCCCCTCTTCTCGGAGCTCATTTAAAATGTTCTTTTCTTTGCTGTGCAGGAACTGATGTAGCTTTAGAAACTCCAAGGAGATGTGTTGCTGCAGATGTAGCTTGTTTTCCTGGAAACCTCCATGATCATCACCCTGGTAATTACTGAGACTAGCACTTGGGGATGGGGGCCCACACCACCAGTACTCATACAACTTGGGAAATAACCATTTAACAGGAAGATGCATTAAAAATGACTCTTGAGTATCATCATTCAACCATACTAAATAGTAGGAGTCCTTGGGGAAACTTACTTTGTTTTTCTTAGTTAGTTCAACAGTTCAGGAATGAAGTAGTCAAAAGTGGTCTCTAGGTACCTATTGCAGTACTGAGGGTGGTAACCAATGCCATATTAAATAAGGCTGTGGGGTTAATTAATTAAACATTCTATAATGAATGATAGTACCCTCCTACCCAGAAGTACAAACCGATATCTACCAAGTGATGCTGTTAAACTGGGGCCATAAGGATGCTGAAAGAACTATTCTTATCTAGAAATCAGAGTTGGGATGATGCGCTTCTGCTTCCAGGACAATATAGAAGAAGCAGGAATGGGCAATGTTTGAAGCACTGAAATTGATAACTGCTTTACCGCTTTCCTAAGGTACTGCGACATCCTCAGGGGTGAACCTTCTGACATCCGGGCTTCTCAGATCCTTATCCTCCTCATTTCTAGTGATCTCCACCTTTATCTATTCATTCTCTTAATTACACAGGACTTTATCATCCCCAGCAATTTCACTCTCTCCAAAATTAACTTCTTATGCTCACTTAATCAGGTAATTCTATTGCAACAATTACTGGGTCTCATCAAAACCTCTTATTCATTGACCCCTTCCATTTCTGTTCATCATCGTCTTCTGTCTCCATGTCTCTTCTTATCCAGCTTGGATTTTATGGTCCATTATTATAATGGCACTCTTAAAATTCATTCTATTCTCTAGCTCACACTTTTCCAGTTTTCCTTTTACCTATTTCATCACTGTTTCTCTGCCTTATTTGTTGGTTCTGTCTCCTCTAACCAACCTCTAAGTATTAGAGTTATTTGATATTCTGTCCGGGGCTCTTTCCTCTTCTCATTGTATATTCTCTTTTTAGGTAATATCCTCTCCTTCCACAGATTTAAGTCACTCTCTATGCTGACTTCTTATTTACAGCCTAGACCAACTTCTGAGCTCCAGATTCCTGTATCCAACTGTCTATTTGATGTTTCCACTCACCCGTCCCATCTAATCAGTCACCACATCCAGGTTTGTTTGTTTTTTTTTAAATCTCTAAAGCATATGCTGAAGTTGTTTATTTCTATCTCTGCTGCCTTTCTAGTCCAAGTTACTATCCTTACTCTCTGGGATCACTGCAATAGCCTTCTAAAATTATCCTTGTCTTTTCACATAGCCACTAGAACTAGACTCATATTTTCAAAATGAGATGAAATCATGTCCTGTTTGAACCCTATGATGGCTTCTTATTCATAGGAAGAAGTTCAAATATCCTAATGTTATCTATAAGGGCCTACATGATTGGACTCATATCTACCTCTTCAGTCTCATCTTGCATACCATAATCCAGTTTTATTGGCCCTCTGTCTAGCTTCCTATCTCAGGACTTTTCTCAACTAACTTCCTATCTCAGGACTTTTCCATATGCTCTTTGCACTTTAAGAACATAGAATGTACTTCTCAAGTACATTCTTCTCCAGGCCACTTCCTTCATATTCCCCTCAACCAGTTCACTTGGCTAAGTTACTTATCCTTCAATTTTCAATTTTAATGGGTGATTTCTTCAGAGAATACCCCTCCCATAGCCTAGATTAGTTCTTCATATGTATGTTCTTATGGTACCCTTTATTTTCATTTATAGTAATTATCACAGTTGTCATTTTATTGCTATTAATGGAATTAATAGCGCCCTAGTATAATATGATATCTAGTCTAATACTTTATCCACTCAATAAATATTTTTTGAGTGAATGAATGTTGACTGTAATAGCTGAACTGGGAACTCTTACAACAGAAACAACATTTTCTGGAGACATCATTATTTCCATCTATCCTTCTTCTTTCTCTTATTGTACATATTTCTTCTTCCAGATGCCAAAAACCAGAGAAGATTCTCTTCCATAGAATAATTAATGAAGAACTAGAACCCCCAGTTTAGCCCCATAACCTAGGAACTGCTTTGCCAAGTTTCTAACTATTAATGTTCTCCTAGAGCTCCTGTGAAGCTCTAGGCAATAGTTTATTTAGTTTGGGGGAAGCTAAGAAAGATCAAATTGGATGGTAAAAAACAGCAATCTGAGAGACCTGCAGTCAGAGGTAGTCTGGTTATAAACCCAAAGAAAAGAAAGATATTTCTTTGGGCATAAAAATCTTTAGTGGATTCTTCTGATAAATCCCTTATTTTGCCATATATAAAAGGAAAGATGAGACAGATCATGACCTCAGAACAATCACCTAGTGACTGAGCCATCAGAAGTATCAGCATGTAACAGGAAAGGTCAGTCTCTTCTCTGTATTGATCAACCATTGAGAACTTATTTCATACAGTGTCCACTTTCTAATTCTATAGCAGGTGCCATTTATTGTATTGATAATATACATATAGGCACCTTTCTCCTCATATAGCTGAAGTTACAAGCAAGGTGTTTCAGTTCTATATCATAACCCCTCTTCCCTGCTTCTCACCTTGTAAGCAGCAATAGCATCTTTCTGCATATTCTTCAGGGACTGAAGTTCCTTCAGGGTTGCCTCCAGTTGACCTTGATGGGTGGTGAGCTCCTTCTGGAGATACCACATAGAATTAATCCACACTAACTTGGGAGATGTCGGGCCATATTGTATCTCTAAGCCCCAGGGTGTCAGGGAAAAAAAGCGAGTTATTGCTGCAAGTGCTTCCTTTCCCCTGAATCATAATTCCTGTTTCTTCAAAGAATTGTAAAGAAAATAACAAGTCATAGAAAAACTTAGTTTTATGCTCTTATTAGCTTACTATAGGGATTTGAAGAAGATAACTCTACATTTTCTACTCTAGTAATAAATACTGTTCTCACTAACTATACTTCTACTTACATTGTTATCATTTAGAATACTCATTTCTGGGGTGCCTGGGTGGCTCAGTGGGTTAAACCTCTGCCTTCGGCCTGGGTCATGATCTCAGGGTCCTGGGATGGAGCCCCACATCCAGCTCTCTGCTCAGTGGGGAGCCTGCTTCCCTTCCTTTCTCTGTGTGCCTCTCTGCCTACTTGTGATCTCTCTCCCTCCATCAAATAAATAAATAAAATCTTTTAAAAAAAAAAAAGAATACTCATTTCTTCCTTTTGCCCATTCAAATGTAAATTATTTCCCAATTCAAGCTTTCATTCACCATGCATCCCCTATTTCCATTTTCTCTAATCTTCTTTGAAATTTTAAATATTTATGAATTACAAATGTGACAAAATTTAGCTCTCAATAGTAGATTATCTTGCTTCTGTTGTTTTATTCATTTTAAACTTGACTAAATTTCAAGACTTTTATAATAAGAGCAATATCTTGTACATCCATACTCTACATGGGGTCTAATAGAGTTCTCTCATGGCAACATATAGGTAAATATTTGATTGAGTGAGTAGGCCAGAGCTACTCCACTGCTCCTTTCCTATAATCAGCAACTCTAGAGAAAGAACTTTGCAAAATATGTTGTATTTTCTAAGCTTACTAATACTCATCTGAATAAAGGTTGGCAGAGAGAAGAAACCCTACAAAAGATTTTTCCCAGCTTTCCTAAGGCATTTTTCAAGGCCCAGGGCTCACCCACCATGAAGAAATGGACAGCATCAGAGATCTGCAGGAAATCTTTAGACTGCCCGACAGACAACCGAGCATCTTTGCATTGAAAGCAGATCAGTTTCCCATCTGGCTTACTGAATATTTTCAGGTTCTCTCCATGCTCTGGGCACTGTGGATGGCCCTTGAGTAAGGGTAGCTTCTTAATCTTCTCTACCAGCTTCTCAAGTACAAGGTTGAATGTACAGTTGCTATATTGACATAGCATCTTACACTCAGGACAGAATGTTTCCTTTGCTTGCTGCTTCCAAAAGTTTTGGATACAGGCCTGGCAGAAGTTGTGGCCACAGCTTAGCATCAGTGGATCACGGAACCAATCATTACACAGTGGGCAGTGTAGCTCCTTAGTAATATCTTGTATCTGCACTTTAGAGGGTATCTGGGTGATCAGATCACGCACTTCCTCGTAGTTGCCTGGGTCGATGTTGGAGCAAGGTCTGGAAGGTACCTTTGGAAAAGAACAACTAAAATGAGTTTCACTTTCCTGCTGCCCATTTCAAACTCCAGGAGAGTGGGCTCTGTTCTTAAAGGAACTGAGAATAGGTACAGCCAGAGTAAAAGCACCGGTCTCCTCTTTGAAAGTGATCTGATAAATTCATCATTTTCTAATGTTATTTCTACTCCCAACACTATTTAAACTTTAACAGAGAACTAAGGCAAAAGAAAGAGTATTCAAACTAAGAATGTTTTTTATTGTATATTCTTCTTTCCACCCACTTTCCCAATGTATTAGTTAAAAGTTTTACTTTCAACTTTTGTTTTACTAGTTACTACCTTTTTGTTTTGTTTTGTTTTGTTTTCTAGAAGTCATATACAAAGAATTGGAAGATCAGATTCCTCAGTGATATAATATCACCAATCATAATATCATCTAGTCTTTTCCTCCTCCTTTTTTAAGAACACATTACAGAGGGGTACCTTGGTGGCTCAGTGGGTTAAAGCCTCTGCCTTTGGCTCAGGTCATGATCCCAGGGTCCTGGGATCAAGCCCTGCTCGGTGGGGAGCCTGCTTCCCCCTCTGTCTCTCTGCCTGCTGCTCTGCCTACTTGTGATCTCTGTCAAATAAATAAATAAAATCTTTTAAAAAATTTAATTAGGGAGTGTGCCTTCTTTTTCTCTTCTCTGAGTTTGTGTAAAAATAATAGAATTATCTGTTCCTTGAGTATTTGGCCAAATTCACCAGCATAACCTTTGGGACTAATGCTTTGGTTTGTTGTTGTTGTTTGTTTGTTTGTTTTTGCATTATCTAGAAGTACTGTTTTACTTTTTCAATACTTATGGGATCATTTAGATTTTCCATAGTTTTCTGACCCAGTTATGGAATTTATATTTTTCTGAGAATTTACTTTGCCTAAGTTTATAAGTGTATTTGTATAAAACTATATTCTCTTATTATCTTTTTATTGAGATATACATACATAAGGGTATATACAGTATTTATATATTTTAAATAAGAATAACAAAGCAACATTTTGTAATTGCCACCCAGGTCAAAAAGTAAAACACTAATTGCCAATACCTTTGATGACCCCTGTGTGTTCTTTTCCAATTGCATACATCTTTATTCTCATAGATAGCCAATATTCTGCTTTTTTTACTTAAACATGACTATACTTTTCTCTATTATTTCGTCATCTATGATTGCATTCCTAGCTAATATAGTGTTTAGTTTTTTCTTCTGTTTTGAACTTTATGTAAATACCCCAGATTAAGATAGTTAGAATTCTTTATTATCTCTCATTGCCACACCTTCACCAAAGTTGTAGCTCTTCAAATGTCCCAGCTTTATTCAAAAGTCTCAGGTCTAGTTCCTTACTTGGTGCAGGTCTAAGGATTGTTAAATCTGAGGTTTCCTCAGTCTCAGTAACTCTAAACTACCTCGATGCTTTTCAGTTCTATATTCTTTTTTTTTACTTTGGAATTTCTCTTTACTTTTTTGTACACTCCATTTCAAAGTATGGATTTCAAAGGATGTCTGTTACATCTTAACTGGCATTTCTGGGTATTTTATAGTGGTAGGTTTTCCAGGAAAAATGGTTAATGGCAGGGTTGCCTGGCTGGGAACTTCAGGGAGAACCCCGCAAAAACAACTATTAAACCTGCAAAACTGTCAGAATGAACTTTTGCAGAACTTTGGGATCTAGTAAAAAACTTATAACCAAGGGAAAACTTAAGGAAGAAGCTGCCACATAGTAGTAAGAGTATAACTGTTGCATTTTAAATCATTCACATACCACTCTTCACTCCTTAAATTGTTGACAGCCATGAAGATGGCAGCTGTACTCTTGGTGCAAGTTGCTAGTGCCAGAGGGAGTATGAAAACTCACAGCTAAATTTATAGTGATAAACACCTACCTTTAAAAAACAATGACCACAAATCAATGACCTAACTTTCTATGTTAAAAAAAAGCAAAAAACCTAAAAAAAAAAAAAACCCAAACCAACCAACCAAACAAACAAACAAACAAAAAACAAGCTAAATCCAAAGCTAGCATAAAGAAGGACAAAAAGATTAGAGTGGAGATAAATGAAATAGAGACTAGAGAAACAACAGAGAAAAACTAATGAAAACAAAAGTTGATTCTCCGAAAACATCCACAAAATTGACAAACCTTTAATAAGCTAATGTTTTCTAAAAGGAAAGAGAGAAGACTGAAATTATTAAAATCTGAAATGAAAGGAGAGATATTACTAAAGGCCTTAGATACTAGATAGTATCTACTTAGATACTATAATACTAGAAAAGTATTATAAGAGAATACTGTAAAGAATTGTATGCCAACAAATTGGATAAACTAGATGAAATGGAAAAATTCCTAAAAACATATTAACTACCAAAACTGACTCAAGAGGAGCACCTGGGTGGCTAAATAGGTTAAGTCTCTGCCTTCGGCTCGGGTCATGATCTCAAGGTCCTGGGATCGAGCCCTGCATCAGGCTCTCTGCTCAGTGGGGAGCCTGCTTCCTCCTCTCTCTCTGCCTGCCTCTCTGCCTACTTGTGATCTCTGTCTGTCAAATAAATAAATAAAATCTTTTAAAAAACTGACTCAAGAAAAAATAGTAAATATGAATAGACCTATAACAAGAGATTAGTAATCAAGAACCTACCAATAAGGAGGGGGAAATATGGCAGAGGAGTAGAGGACCCTATTTCAACCAGTCCCTTGAATTAAGATGGATTCCTGCCAAATCATTCTGAACACCCATGAAATCAGCCTGAGATGTAAGAAGTCTACAAACAGACTATCTCCGGCGGTTAGTCTCGAGGTATGAAGCAGGGATCTGTGATTTTGTGAGCAGATATTGGAAGATAGGGGAGGGAACCTTCATAAACTTGTACCAGGAAGGTGAGAAAATGCAAAAACCTCCCATGCAGGAGATGGGGCACAGACTCTCAGACAAGTAGCAATGGGGAAAGAACTTTAGGGCAGCACCCCAGACAGAAACCTGGAACTACAGGTGTGTGAACGAGAACTGGGGTGGCTTGCGATTTTAGAAGCACAAAGGGCAGTGCCTGGCCCTGGGAGCGGCATTTGGGAGTGCTGCTGTGGGGCACACAACCCAGGAGACTATGGTTTTTAGCAACACAGACAGAAACAGAGACAGTGTGGCCTGGAGAGCTCCGTAAAGAGTAGACTGTGATCTCTCTATTCTGAGACAGAGGTTTGAATGAAGTCACTTCTGCTCTGACTCTCGGAAGAGATTCAGAAAGCTGTCAGGGATGGGGCACCTGGGTGGCTCAGTGGGTTAAAGCCTCTGCCTTCGGCTCGGGTCGTGGTCCCGGGGTTCTGGGATCGAGCCCCGCATCGGGCTCTCTGCTCGGTGGGGAGCCTGCTTCCTCCTGTCTCTCTGCCTGCCTCTCTGCCTACTTGTGATCTCTGTCTGTCAAATAAATAAATAAATAAATAAATCTTTAAAAAAAATAAATAAAATGCTATGAATAAAATGCGGTCTAAACTGTATACTCTGACCATCAGGTTAAACAAGGCAGAAGAACAAATTAGTGAGCTAGAAGATAAGATGATAGAAAAAAAGGAAACCCAGGAGGCATGGGAAAAACAGATTAAAGCCCAAAGAGTCAAACTGAGAGGTTAATGACTGAATGAAATGTTTCAAAATCAGAATTTTTGGGATCCCTGAGGGGGTGGAGAGAGAGAGATATCTAAAAGATATATTTGAACAAATCATAGCTGAGAACTTCCCTAATCTGGGGAAGGAAACAAATATTCATGTCCAAGAGGCAGAGAGGACCTCTCCCAAAATCAGACCGACACCATGACATATAAAGTACAATTCACAAATCTTAGATCCAAGGAAACGATCTTGAAAGCAGCAAGGGGAAAGAGATTTCTTATGCAAAGAGGGAGAAGCATCAGCATAACCTGTCTGCAGAGACCTGGCAAGCCAGAAAGGACTGGCAAGACATTCAGGGTACTTAAATGAGAAGAACATGCAGTCAAAGATACTTTATCTAGCAAGGCTGTCATTCAGAATGGATGGAGAGACAAGGAGCTTCCAAGACAGGCAGAAACTGAAAGAATATGTGACCACCAAGCCAACTCTGCAAGAAATATTAAGGGGGGTTCTATAAAAGGAGAAAGAACCCAAGAGTGATAAAGAACAGAAATTTGCAGAGACAATCTATAGACACAAGGACTTCACAGGTAACATAATGACAATAAAATCATATCTTTCAATAATCACTCTCAATGTGAACAGTCTAAATGCTTGCTTGAAAAATTATCCTGATACTAAAACCAGATAAAGATATTACAAGAAAATAAACTAATTTTAGGATTTTTTTTTTACAAGAGAATGAAAAGCAACTCAAAGACTGGATAAAAATATTTGTAAAGCTTGTACCTGATAAAGGTCAAATATCCAGGATATATGAAGAATTCTAAAAATTCAACAGCAAAAAGACAAACACTCAATTTAAAAATGAGCAAAGGACTTGGTTAGACATTTCTCCCAAGAAGATTGACAGATGGCCAACAAGTATATAAAAGATGCTAACATCATTAAAGAAATGCACATAGAAACCATAATGGTTGGTTCATACCAACTAGGATTGCTATAATTTTTTTTTAATAGAAAATAACAAACATAGGTGGGGACCTGGAGAAATCGGAAACTTTATACGTTTTGCTGAGAGTATAAGATGGTACAGCTACTGTGGAAAACAGTTTGGCAGTTCCTTCAAAATGTTAAACATAGAATTAATACATGGCCAACCATTCCACAACTAGGCAGATGCCAAAAAAAATTAAAAACAGGTGTTCAAACAAAAACTTGTTCACAGATATTAATAGCAGCACTATTCACACTTGTCTCAGTTGGAAACACCCTAAATGTTCATCAGCCAATGAAATGGATAAATAAAATAAAATTTGGCATATCCATGAAATCAAAGATTATTCCATTATAAGAAGGAATGAAGTACTGATAC